AGAGTCTTATAAACGTAGTCCATTTTCGGCTAACGTTTTTAACACTAGTTCTTTCAAGCCTTTTCCTGTACAATTACTGGTGTTTCGAACTCCTAAAAAGTGTTCATTTATATTAACTACATCAAATACACCAAGAAAATTTCTTCTGCCCAAATTCCTTCATACCTATCACATAACTTGCCTAGAAATAAAACAATTTTATATGCATAAGGACAGGAAAAAATATTATTGATAAAGACCCTGTCATTTCTCGAAATAATTCAGAAGCGAGCTACACGTTATTAAAGATTATACTGTTATCATGTACGTCATTGGACATTCACTCATCCTACACGCCTCTAAGAACTTTGAACCAACAGCCCTCGGTTGACCTAACTCTGCGAGACTATATCGAACAGGAGAGTGAGGTCCGAATGTGGTAACAACCAGATAATGAACGACCTCTACTGTGGCACTTTAAGAAGCACAAAATTGGGAAGTCTAGCGAGATTTTTCTTTTATAACTCAAAATGGCAGGGTCTCTAACTATTAATAAACTAGGGGTCCAGGCTGTGACTTGTTTTTTAGTATTGTCACGTGCCTAGAATAGTTACCATGTTAAAAATTTTGGTTATCATACAAAGACGGGGGAAAAAAAAAAAAAAAAAATTACATACATATATGTAGTTAATAATGAAATGATGTGAAATTAACTCAACTTTCAAGCAACTACGGCCCCATTTGATATACATCTATCCACTTGGAAACTGTGGCCCCACTTGATATAGATCTATCCTCCAAGCCACTGTTGCCCCACTTAACATAGTTCTATCCACTGAGCCACTGTGGCTCCACTTAATTAACTCTACATTGAAGCGCGACATTTAAAGTAAACACAAAAAACATTCCATTACCTTCATATCTCTATGCAATAATTTATATGCATTAATACCAAACTTTAATAGGGAAAATGTAATTTAAAAAAATGAGTTTTTAAGGTAAAAGATTATGATTGCGTAATCTGATCTTGCTGAAATTCCAACTTGACCTGTATTTAACCCTGAGGATTCGCTCTGCAAAATTTGTAGAACTTCTGTTGGGTTTCAACGGACTTAGAATTATTAAAGGCGGACAGACAGAGATCGTCTAATTGAGGAATCAGCAGAAAAAAAAAAAAAAAGTTAAAATTGCAAAATTTTTAAACACAGATGCCTATACAAAAACTCTTTTTAATATGATTTTATAAGTTGTAAAAATATTATTAACTGGGATAACTGTGATTGGTAATCATTTACATTGGGTTATCTTGTAAGGAACCCACAACTAAGCGAATATAAATAGTGGACGCAGTAATAATCTCATCATGTGACAGGGTAATAGGCCTATATCATACTCAAACATAACAAATAAATATACTTTATGGTGGCCAAAAGAAGTTAACTTTTGAGAGCAGTGGAATGTTAACATTGTATTTATTAGACTGTTAGTCACACCTCGGACAGCACTTTTTATATTAAAAAGTTGCAGAAGGACGAAAATTGGCTGAAAGGATAATCTGAGTAGGATCTCAAAAAGTGCTCACTTTACCGTGAACAGCGTAGGCTATAAACAAGGACTTATGTAAGTACACAAAAAAGGGAATCATTAATTTCACTAACCTACTCCATTAGATAACAAATAATGAAACCCCATTCTTCGTTATGATTAACAATCACAAAATTATAACGTCTGAGGTCACAATGTCCATCTGTAAATACAGTTAATCACCAACTAATTCTCAGAATACAGATACTCTTAAAATAACGCACACTTGATGAGAATGTTGCCCATGTCCAAACAGTAACTTATTCACGTATTTCGAACTACAAGGCACAGAGCGCACTAAGAGTTAAGCCTGCATATGTTCAGTAGCTCACCAATTAGTCCATTTCATCAACAGAGTGCAGCACAGTATTTACAACTACACCACATTTTTTAACTCTTCTAGATTTTGTTGCCCTTCTTATACCAATCTTGGACTGCCAACATTATCAGCAGTACATGTGTTTAAATACATTTGTGGGTGCCAAATTTCCACAATGATTGCAGGGGAAAAAATAATCTTATCATCTGAGTTTGGCGCCCCCTTCACCTTGGCGCCCGGGGCAACAGTCCCGCTCGCCCCGCCTGGTTGTTAAGGCAGGAAGGTCTCAGGGAGTGATCGTTTGTGGGTGGTGAGTTTTGGTTAAAGGTGACTTAGAACGTAACACATACATGTGCATAAGGATGGCCTCATATCAGCCTGGTACTTTGAGACATGCTGTTACGTAGACCACGTGTCATGCCTGAACCCTCAGACTGAGAAGTAGCAAGCCAAGTTGGCCACAACAGATATATATGATACACCATGGATGTTTCAAAGACTTTAATGGCACCTGTGACCAACAAACATTGCACACTACATCAGTACATTTCTACACTAGTAGTTGGGTAAACTGAATTCACTTGATTAAAGAACTCTGAATAAACACGTACTTGAGACTGTCCAACTGTTTTCAAGACAAAGCCAGTAGATCTGTTTTGCAGGTTGGACCGATGAATGTGAGGTGCCACTCACTCTCATGTACACAGAGTGAAGTAGGCTGTTAGGCGGCTGCTAGAAAATGCAGCGGTACACGTGCAAGGATGAAAATAAAAGGAATATAAAGACAAATATGAACCAAGAAATGCTAATAGGAGAAACCATGCAGTGATTTCCCCACGTGGGACTGTACATATCCAGCCACTCAGTCAAGCCTGCCCCTGGAACTGGTATAGCCATCCAGCAACAGGGCAGTCTGGCCACCTCTCAGCGCAATAGTGAAACAGTACATACAGAAACACAAAAGGTGTACCAGAATTATTGCTATAATTACTGTAATACATGTCACCATCTTGATATTAAAAAAAAAAAAATAAAATAAAATAAGTAAACTGAGGGAATAGAAGTTTCGCTCAGCTCTTACTAATGTCTTTTTCTTCACTTAAGTTTGGTTTTTCTGGGCTTGTAACTGGATTGTTAAGACATGCAGTAATTTATGACAGGCAGCTCAATCCTTAACAGTTTTACATATGCTGTTGCATTTATGAACTCATTTTGGTGACTGTTGTGTTGCTCAGTATTTGAGATTGGCACCCACTTTACCTTTAGCAAGTGAGGTTAGAACATATGGTTGTAGCTGATTTTGACACGTTGAGAGTGTGGCCCACCTACGGGTGTGTGTCAGCCAAGTATGATCCATGGGACAATCTGGGCTTCACTTACCTGCTGAGGTGTGGGTTCAACAACAGTTTAAACAGACTTGTCAAGTATCTTTGTAGAAACGTCCAGAAAACTAATCGTGGATAAAATACACTATTATAGAAAAAAAAAATTACATAACTAAGATAGCAGCAGTGAGACGCTGGCCACATGATCTCCAAGGTCGCTATAAAAGTGGTATGAAAGGAGTTTCATGTAGAATTAGGCCCCGTTTACACATTGCGTTGGTCGACGGCCGTTGCTGCAGCATGAACAACAGCCATTGGTTTATCTTCTTGTTCTCACATACGATGATACCGCAGTGCAGTGTGAGGTTTCTGTGTCTTCGTTCGAACGGGAGTCATGGACGCGTATAGAAAACGTTTACTTGGGTGCAGACTTCAGAGTTCCTAGACAAACCTCGGCTAGAAAGAAGATTTTGGGTGCATCTGTACAACAAAGAGAGAGCAGCTTCAGGAAGATTCTGGACATTTTATGAAGAAATACGGAAGCACGAAGATAAATTTTTTCAGTTACTACAGAATGTCTGTCAAATCATTTGATGAACTATTGGAGATTTTGCAACCTCAAATTACCAAGAAGAATACATTTTGGAGAAACCCATTGTGTGCTGAGGATAGGCTATCAGTCAAACTAAGGTAAGTAAAATAAATTTATTCATTATATAATACAATTATTGTAAACAATCTGCTCATAATTTATGCAATGATAATTTTAACTGTCTTCATTGGGGTCATCGGAATAGGGGGACATCATATCAGGAGTCGATGTAGACTCCGAATGGCAGTAAGAGGGTGAGGCTCTTTAGTGAAGTGAAGTGTGATGTGATTGGGGGACATGTTGGGTGGTTGGAGGTTGGGGATTTTGATAAGGATCGAGTTGAAAGGTGTATTGTTGTGGCAGAGGGATGGATGAGGCATGTGCCGACCCCTGATAGGCTGTGACTTAGGGAAAGTTATGTAACTGCTGATGGCCAGGTTGGAGGGTTGAAGGATGTGCAGTTTATTGTGGGGTTTGCTTAACAGAGATCTTAAAATTTACAATTTGTTGTTGAAATTGGAGTTTTTGGATACACGTTAAGGTTTTATACATCGGAAGTAGCGAAAGGAGATATTAACTTCTCCGGATCACTGCCATCCTCGGAGTACTCGAGTTTTTTTTAGCAATTCAGGTTTTTTTCATCGGCAAGGGACTTTGAAAAGCTGATTCTGGATTAACGGAGGTGGAGGTGGTTGGAGGTTCGGTTGGGGACTCTTGGGTGTCGGCTGTTTCCATCGGCATGTCTTCAACTTGCTCTTCCTTCTCATCTTCTGTCATGTTACCGCTACTCCTGAAAAAGCTGTACAAATATAGACTTAGACCAATTATGTGATGAGATTATCTTTTCATCTAACCTTCTTTTTTCTAAAGAATTTCTTAACAATTTAAGAGCGTCAGCAAATACACATTTCCTCTTTTTCCCTCTGGGTGCTCTGTTTTTCCGGCATTGAGCGAGCGAACAAAATTATCTTTTATATTTCTCCACTTGTTCTTGATGTTGGCAATTACAACCAAACAAACCAACATCTGTATTATTCTAAAACATGCAAAGCTTTTATGTTTCAAAAGAGGCAATGAAAATACATATAAGTAAGCAGATAAAGCATTACATATCAAAATCCTAATATTGTTTTTAGAATACGTTAAATTGTATTGTATTAAAAATTTTTGTGACTTTCAAATTTCAACCAGAAAAAATAACAACTCCAGCAGGGTTTTGAGCCTGGCACCTTCTTATTGCTGGTCAAATGCTCTTACGACTGAGCTACCAGTGTTTAATTATCTGGTCTAAATGCTCTTACGACTGAGCTACCAGTGTTTAATCATCTGGTCTAAATGCTCTTACGACTGAGCTACCAGTGTTTAATCATCTGGTCTAAATGCTCTTACGACTGAGCTACCAGTGTTTAATTATCTGGTCTAAATTTAAAAGTCATTATGAATTGAAATATGCGTTAAGGTCAGGCAAAAAATGCCTTAATATAGCATAATCGTTTAATTTTTTTTCCAATACCACATATTTCCAGTGTGGTCAAAAAATTATACTATAATACAACAAGGAACGTAAAAATTCGACATCTAATAATTAGTATTTGATACATTTTTCAAACAATAATTTAATTAGTGAAAGATGAGTGTCCGAGTTGTTTTGTTTATGGATGCTGTGAATTGACACTACGGTCATTGATTTTCTTTGTTGCAGGTACCTGGCAACTGGAAATACCTACGCCTCTCTGCAACTGCAATACTTTGTCAGAAAAACAACTATTTCACAAGTTGTCGTTGAAACCTGCCAGGTAATCTGGGATCGTTTACAATGCTTGGAAATGCTCGAACCAACAGTAGAACAGTGGATAGATATCGCTGAAATTTTCTACATGAAGACCAATTTTCCAAACTGTGTAGGTGGAGTTGACAGGAAGCACATATGGTGTATTAAACCTTCCGGGCCTGGTTCAAAGTTTTATAATTATAACAAATACTTCTGTCGTGCTGATAGCCGTTGCTGATGCTAATTTAAGTTTTGTTGCAATAGACGTGGGGGCATATGGCCAAGAAGGGGATTCAACAATTTTTCGAGATAGTATTCTTGGTAAAAAATGGAATCTTCCAACCCCAAAATGTTTGCTGAATACTACCTCTCACCCACAGCCTTTTGTCAGGGTTGGTGATGAAGCTTTCAGGTTTCACATACATCTTCTTCGCCCCTACCCACAACACAATCTCGACTCACACAGGAGGGTTTTTAATTACAGATTATCTCAATGTAGGAGGTACGTGGAATGTGCATTTGGAGTACTCACTAATAAATGGCGTGTTTTGCACACCCCAATACTATTGCATCCAGACAATATTGACAAAGTTGTTAAAGTCTGTTGCATACTGCATAATTTTGTACGAAAACAAACTGTCTTAATTGTGAGGACAGCGAATCACATACGTTCGTGGATGTAAATAACTTTGGACATAATGCCCAACAAGGGGTGGACATTAGAGAAATGTTTGCAGACTATTTCATGGGGCCAAGAGCAGTCTCATTTCAAACACCCTTTATGTTCTAGATAACTATTTAGACTCTATATAATGAATATCTAATCTGTACATTAGCTGATATTTATATTAAGTCCAATTTAGTTCAAAATTATTTTTTTGCTAAAAGTTATTTTGTGTTAATCTATAAAATTGTTCTGTTTCTAGATTAGTTAGTTGTGTAATTAATAATGAACAAGTTTGAAAGCTCCAAAAGGAAAATAGGCAATTACTAATATTGCTATATAATAATAATATGTAAGGTAATAAATAAAAACATGTTTTACTTACGTTGGGGTTTTTTCTCCAATTGAGATCATTCTTCCCAATTCTCGACCAGATCTGCTGCCACTGTCAAACAACACTTCTCTTTAAAAGTCATGTCCTTAAAAAGTTCATGGCTTTTGTCCCAAAGCAGAGGGTTATCTTGCGATCAACTTGTCACAATCCATAGCAGAAACAAACCTGAAATGTACTGTGAAGCCAGTAGAACTGTGTCACCAATGGCCGTCGAACATGTACTGTGGGGACATCTCCATCTGTTTCTTTGTGTTCGGCCCCTCCACCTAACAATGCAGTGACCGTTGGCACTACACCAGTCGCCGTTGGAAATGCCCAACGGCCGGTAATAACACCACACCAAAGAATGTGGGAACACCCACGCTGCAACGGCCGTCGACCAACGCAATATGTAAACGAGGCGTTAAGCCCCTTGCACAATATGCGATTGGTGGTTAGTGGTTGGTCCTGCAATAATTTCAACTTGGTGTTGGTGTTGGCAGTTGGTCATGTAGAAAGTTGAAAATATTGAGGTTTGTACCACCAACCGACCAATCAGAGTGGGCTTTGTAGTTTATCACAAACCAACCAATAAGAGCATGCTTTGTAGTTAAGGTTGAAATGGAGGAGGGAAAAGGTGGAAATAAAAGTATTAATATCAATTAGCGACCAGCAGTTTTCAATATTAAAAACCCAATGTATAAAAACCTTGGAAATTTATGTTTTAGTTAGGTACAATATTTTATTTATTTTCATTTTGGTACAATGCAGTATCTTTCGGTCATATAACATTTTCAGTTAATGTTTACCTCCATACTGTTGATTTCAGACAATCAAAATATGACCAAATTGAAACAGTACCATTTTTTTTTTAACAGATTTACTGCTACCTTGTGGCTTGGTCGCGAAACAATGTAAACCAACGCGCCAACCGATGATTGTGCCATGAGGCCAAGATGGTCGCCACAGACAGACTACAGGTTGTGTAGTGTTGTTCCGTATTTAAGGTTGTTTTGGCTTGTGATTAGTCCTAGCAATAGGTTTAAATATAGGTGGCGTAGTAGTTTGAGGTATAATTACAGTTAAGATTAGTGTTTTATGTGGTAAATAGTTTTATAAGGAGGGAGTAGTGTCAGATTGTGTGCACGAGGCAGAGGCCTTTGTTATTGTACGAGGGTAAAGGGTGTATGGTGTAAGTTAGGCTAGTTAAGAATGTGTGTGTATACGTGGGTATTTGGTGTATGTTATAAGGGAGAGTAGTTTTAGTTTTAAGTTAGTTAAATTATTTTTAAAAAAGAGAGGGTAAAAACAATGGTAGGGAGGTGTAAGTGTAGGGGCTGTGGTAAGGTGTGGAGAAGGTTAGATAGTGGTGTGCAGTATGGAGGCTGGTACCATGTTGGCTGTATAGTGATCAGGGAGGAGGAACTGGGATCACTACAGGAACATGAGTGGAAGTGTGAGGAATGTGCTGAGGGAAAGGGTTTAGTGACAGTGGTAGGGAACAAATTGAGGGTAGAGAAGGAAACGCAAATAAGTGGAGAAGGTGGAAACTGTATTTGAGATATGCTGAGGGGAAGCTTTGTAGAGGGTGTGCCAGTGACAAGGATGGAAGTGGCTAAGGAGGAGAGGTGGAAAGGAGAGATGGTAGATTTGATGAGCAGGAAAGAGAGGGAAATGATGCATAGGATTGAGAGGATGGAGGAAAAGGTCAGGAATGAGATGGGTAAGAGTAGAGTAGAAATGAGTGTGGATAAGTTAGAGGAGGAGTTGGAAGATGTAAAGGGGGTGCTAAGGAAAATGAAAGCCAGTCCACAGGAGGAAAAGCTGAGTAGAGAGGAAGAGTTAGTCAGAATGCAAGTAGGGCTGCAGAAGGAACTGCAGGAGGAGGAGGGAGGCAGAGATAGAGGTGGTAAGATTAAGGAGGAGGATAGATGAGTTGGAGGCAGTAGAAAGGGATAAGGCAGTAGGAGACATAAGACAGCAAATAAGGTTAGAGGAGCAAGAAATAGTAGCAAGGGATAAGGTGATAGTAGTAGGCAGGAAGCAATCAGGAATCGATGAACGGGAATCAGAAAGCAGGGAACAGGCAGTGGTAGAAGGTAGGAAGCAGTATGCTGAGGCTTGCAAGTGTGGGATTAGCAAAGACCAGCAAGCAGGAGAAAGTGGACAGTTCAGGCCCAGAGGGGAGAGAGGAGGGCTGGCCAAAGGGAGGGAAACAAGGGTAGGGAGGTGGGTGGAAGAGCCACAATGCAGGAACAGGTTGTAGGAAGGGAGCCAGAGGTAGTTTTTCTAGGCAGCTCTATTGTAAAGGGGGTGGAGCTGAGGAATATCGGGAAGGAAATTACATATAAAGCAGCGTTGGGGAGGGGGGCAAATACTAGGGATTTGGAGGAAAGGGTTAGTGGTATGAAAGGTAGCAGGGTGGCAAAGGTCGTTCTCATTCATGTAGGGGGAAATGACCTGGCTCATAGGGTGGGGCAGGAGGTAGAGCGGGACCTCAGGGGATTGCTGAGAAAAGTGCGGGAGAAGTTCCCTGGAGCTAGGGCAGTAGTCAGTGGCGTGCTGGTTAGGAAAGGAGTATCCTATAGGAAGGCAGTGGCTGTGAGTGAGGTATATGAGAGGGTGTGTACGGATTTGGGGGCTACATTTATAGATAGTAGGAAATGGGTAGGCTGGGAAAGTGTAAGGCGGGACCAGGTTCACCTGACAGAGAGAGACAGGTAGAGAAGTAGCTGGCTGCATGGAGAGGGTCAGGGCAGAGCAGCAGTTGTTGAAACAGCAATCAGAAGCAAGGAAACAGAAGGGGAGAGAAATGGAGAGGATAGCATTGATGAGGCCGCAGGGGTTGAGATAGAAGGTAAGCAATGTAGGATGGTAAAGTAGAGTACTAGTATAAAGATAATGTTGGTGAACTGTAGGAGTGTGTACAACAAGCTGAAGGGCTTCTGGGGAAAGGTTGAAGGATATGGGGTGGATATAGTGGTAGCTGTGGAGACTTGGCTGACTGAGGAAGTCCTGGACATTGAGTGTAGGCAGGAGAAGTTCACCATCTTCAGAAGAGACAGGGATGGGAGAGGAGGAGGAATAATGGTGTGTGTAAGGGAAGGGCTAAAAGGGGCGGTAGAATGGGTTAGTGAGGATGTCGAGGTAATGGAAATTAAATTGAGTGGTAGTAGTAATAGGAGTATTACTTTGCTGGCAGCGTATAGACCACCAGGACAGGGATGGCAGGCAATTGAGATGATCAAGGAGAGGGTCGATAGACTAAAGGACAGGCAGTGGGTTGTTGTAGCAGGGGATTTGAATATGCCAGGGGTGAAATGGGTAGAGGGTGCAGAAGGAATGGGTAGCATGATGCAGAGAATGGCAGCACAGTTAGTCAACAGAGGATTAGTCCAGGTAGTAGAAACACCTACGAGATGGAATGAGGATTGTGTTGGCTCAACGTTGGATGTGGTGTTGGTCA